AATTAAAACAAAAACAAAAACACCTACTGAAATGAAGAAAGGGAATCATTCTTTAAAGAAAAACAAACCCTTCTGGTCAACATTTTTTTGCAGTCTGACAGTGCAAACTTATGCATATCTACTTAGAACTCAATCCCACCAAGGTCACTAGAGTGAACAGAACTAATCTTTGGTGTGTGGAGGGGAACTTGCTCCCCACCAGGCCCTCCACAGGCCAGATAACATTGGTATGACTACAACCACTGACATAATTCACATACATTTTCACTTTCTATGTGCTGAGAAGTGCATGGTTCTGTGGAAGGTGTTGAGGGGCATATGAAGAAATAGTCAGCCAATGCTGGGATTGGCACCTGCTCTTCCTAGTGTCAGCTGAGTTTATTTATTTAATGAATTTCTGTGCCTGTACAATAGCCCACATCTGGGCTCTCTGCATGGCTCACAAGAGTTGGGCTCTTCTTATGTGCCTGCGCCCTGACTGGCTCCCATTATCCTGACTGTTTAACTCCAACCTGAGATTGGAGATAGCTCTGGGGATTCCTCCAATGGAGAAGCCCCCAGAGGATGAGGCTTGGCCTCCCATCTCCACCTTCTGGAGCAAGATGGGGAGGCTCTGTGGACCAGATTGGGGATCCCAGCAGGGTGGATCAGGTTTGCAAAATTCTACACACCTGGCACATAGAATTGCAGCTGAAATCATTTGGGCTTGTTTGTTGATAATGTTAGGCATTTCAAGATTTTGGAGGTTATTATATATACTTCTTCTGGCACCATCAGTAAGTTTAAAACTGAGATGGTTCCTTAATCATAGCGATTACTCATCATTGTCAGTTCACAGCAGAAGGCTGAAATGCTTTTTGAGATAGCTTTTTGAAAAGCAAAATCTAACAATGACTTCTCATTATGGCTATAAATGACAAGATAATAGCATTACATTACAGTGATGTTTTCTTTTATTAGGAGTTGCATCAGTAAAAATCAACCTTCCAGAACTATGTATAGATGAGTTTGAGGTATGTTTAACATGCAAGATGGGAATGTGCGTGAGGATGAAATGGCTCTTTCTGATTATCTTTTTCCCCCACTAAGTTGGATGTTTTTACATGCTGGATGGTTTTCACCAGCTTCCTGGAACAATTGTAAAATTGCATAGTGTTTTTTCTGATTCTTGATTGATTTTATTTTTAATTAAATATGTTCCCATTATCAAGTGACGTGTGTTGAGCTGTTGATCAGCATCAGCACCTTGGTCACTGGTGCTACTATCAGGCTGTCCAAGGAGAACCAGTGTTCGAATCACAGCAATGAAGCTCACTGTATGAACTCTGGCCATTCCCTCTGTCAACCCTCTGGCTGTTGATAGATACAATGGTGGTGACCTATATGCTGTCTTGTACTTCTTGGAGGAAGAGGGAGATAAAAAGTAATAAACCTGTCCATCCTGAAGTGCTCTCTTAAAACCTTTCCAGAACATTTTAAATTACCCCCATTTTGTCCTTGTTGTTATACTTGGACTATACCCAGTCCAACATCTGTGATGCAATACCACTGTCCCCCCACCCCATCACACACACACCCATGCAGATGCAAGGAGTATAATCTTGACATTGGTGGAGGGACAGTGAGAAAGCTTTCCTGTGAGGATCACAGATATACTCCAGCAAATAAGAGGAGTGAGCACTCATGGAAGTGAGCCCTGAGAGAACTCACAAGGAGGCAAAGAGAATTCGAAACCCACCAAGGCATGACAAACTGAAATTCAAACTAAATTTAGCTATTATTGGTTTGTCCTTGCCCTTATGGCTCTACTGCTAGTTTTCTGTGTCCTTAGGATTGGATGGCTCTCCAACTACTTGCTGAATGCTTTAATTAGTCTTTGTGTTGGTCTCTACTGAATCTTCTGCTTGCTATGCTCCCTCTGAGTGTGTGAGAGAGAAGGAGAGGGAGAGAAAGAGAGAGACTGTATCATAGGGATGGGGACCTTGTTGAACCCAAGGGCTGGGTTCAGTTTTTGACAAGTTTTCAGGGGCTGTAGTCCAGTGGTTGGTGATGTTAAAAGTAAAGGAGTGCTCAGAATACAGAAAGAACCATAGTATGGTACCCTGAAGCTGTTACTTCCAGCAACTAAGCTGTAGGAGAGGCATTTCATTCTTTTGGAATGGGGAAACAACTGCACGAAAGCCAGGAAACTACCAAATGAACAAAAGTAGAGAAACGGGCTGGAGCCACCTGGAGAACCCTGCTAGGCTGGATTGGGATCCAAGGAGGGCAGATTAGGGCCAAAACTTTATCAGATTTATGACCGGAGCCTGTCTCAGTTGCAGTGACTACCCTTTGAATCATTCAGACAACAACAGCCCCAACCCCGTGTTAGACAGGTTGAAGAGGAAACCATTGTCTGTCCAGACTTCAGGGGAGGAAACACCAGGCAAGCAAAACAGGACCAGCTGCTTGCTGCCTCCCCAGTGTTTTTACTGCCTTGCCTGGCAAAATGTTGGGGAAGGGAGCTAGTCAACTTGAAAACACAGGGGAATTCTCTTGTATGCTGCTGTTTACCTGGCCAACCATGCTTAGTTTCACCAGAGCTCCAGGCCCACTGTTGTCTTCTCTTTCTTTAGCAACCTATTTTCTGTGCACACACTGTGGATCTCTTCCAGTTTCCTGGGACTGTACTGCTCCCCTGCTTCAGATGTTCTCTTGCTTAATATCCTTTGCTTACCTCCACCCCACTTTCATCCCTGCAGATGTTCTCCAGTGTTTATTCTGCCAGACAGCTTCCCTCATTTGTCCCCAACTTTCCAAGTCTTGGCTCTGCTGAGCTACCAATTCCATTGGGCTGCTTCCTCAATAGTCCTCTAGAAGCAGCTGTTCCATCAGGCTGTAACAGAGTGAGTGGCGGGGGGGGGGGGGGAAGCAGGGCCCTCCACTGTCTGGTTCAGTCACTGCCTGACTTTTAGCACGTGAAACTCTACTGTCTGACAGTCAGTCTTAAGACTGAGGATTAGTATGTGGCTTTGTCATTTATTTGTAACTTGCATTTTGTTTAAGATCACTTTATTGAAGATATTGATAGCTACCATGAACATTTATTATAATTGGAAGATAAGATACACATTCGTCTTTTTATTGTGCAGGCTGTTTTATACAGGGTGTTTCATAAAGTACGCAGTTTTTAAAAATGCAATAAGCCAAAATCGAAGCAAAACTCAAAATTTTTATTTAATTTCATTCAACATATACTTCAGTTTAATAATGAAAAATGATATCGAGCATATGTCCACCTCCACTTTCTCTGCAGGCAGCCATCCGATCGTTGAAATTAACGATAACCAGGGCTTTTTTTGTCATAGAACGCACCGGAACGGCATTCCAGCACCTTTTTTTCAATGGATTTTACGAAGTGATTTTGGCTTAGCAGATCAGCAGCAAACATCATTAACATAGTGCCTGCAGGCTGCTATTGTATCTGCTATCTGATCGTGAGAGATAGCTGCTCAGGACGCTGCTCTGCTGCTCAGCTTGGGATTGGTGTGTGTGCTTACTGCCGGCAGTGATGTGAGTTCCGGCACCTTTTTTTTTTTTTTTTACAAAAAACCCACTGACAATAACTCTTTCGCAGACGTCCCTGTTGATTTCATCGATTACCTGTACGGTTTCGACCAGGCAATTTTCTGGTTGCAACTGACCCAGACTCTTCAAATTTCTGTACTAAACTGTTGTTGCAGTAGGAGCATTGTCACATCCAAAGATCGCGCGAAGTTTACGGACAGTCTCTACGTAGCACTCCCTGTTTTTGTAATGAGTTTTCACAATAAGAATGCGTTGCTCGATACTGAACTGCTCCATGGCTACTAAATGGAAAAATGACAAATGGTCTTTTAATTGGAGTGATAATAGATAACGAAAATGATAGGAACAGTGCTGACAATCTTCAAACAAAAAAATACCACGCAATTCAAAAACTGCGTACTTTATGAAACACCCTTTAGAAGTAGCTTTGCTTATGGGACTGGAATGGTAATTTTCTGATGTGGGGGCCAAATTAGGTCACAAATTAACCTAACAATTAGGCTGCAAAGTACAGACTTTAAATCACTGTTGCCAAAATCAATCAATTTCCCAAACTGTGCATGTTCTCTGTGACACTGTTAGTTTGGACGTAACACTGGGCAATTCTTGGGTTGTTTAACACATGCATGGTGAGAGAAGTGGATAATGCAAATCTGTGTGTGCCATTTCTGAATTCAGTTAAACTGCAATTCCTGGCAAAACAACCCAGGAATTGCCCCATGTTATATGCAAACCGAGTCAAAGTCATTGCTGTGTAAATACTGCTCCTTTTTTTATCATTAGAAACTTGAATACATATTTTGAATGTTGTTGAATCCCAAAGCAAGAGTAGCCGTGCAAGTGGGGAATTACTTTGTTTTTCCTTTCAGGGGTACATCCATGTTTGTTGGAATTATTAATTTATTTGTTACATTTTAATCCTACCCAATAGCCAAAGCTCTCTGGGCAGTTCAGAACAAATGGAGTTGACCAGCACATTGTGCTTCTCACATGATGTCACTGCAGACATTGTAAACTGCATATACCTTTTTTTTTTTTAATTCACCAAGAAGTTGAGAGTACTGAAGTCCCTCCCGTCCACTTCTTTTTTTTTTTTTCCTCTTTCCCTGAGGCCTGGAAACGTCAAATGGGTTTTTGGTTTTACTCACCGCTTTTTCTTGTGATGTATCTGTTAATAACCAGGGTCAGTAAAACAGCTGCAAAGTTTGTTTTTATTTGTGGTAGCTATAGGATTGTGAAGATGTGAATGAAGAAAATGATAATAAAGGAGTCTAAATTTACCCATATTGAATTACTTCTGGTATACCTTTTGGTTATACCACTACACACTCTGACCCTCTTGTTATGTGTATGCATAATTAGTAGGTACTATGAGAACTTGGTAATTCTTATGAATTATTGAAACAATATCCTTCTTTTCATTCCAACAGCCTTACCACACGTCTGCCAAAAGCTGGAGAGACCATTCATGGTCATCGGTTTTTCACTGGATTTGGAGGGAAAGGTGCCAACCAGTGTGTCCAGGCTGCGCGACTTGGAGCAAAAACTTTAATGATCTGCAAAGTAAGCACTGGCCTGCACCTTCTGGCTTTACCTGTGCCCCAAATATTCATAAAGTGAAAGGGGCATCTGAAAAACCAACAGCAAAAAACAAATTACAAATGGAGAATTCCGATCAGCATTCTAGTAGTCCTAACTACTAGCTAACTCCCCAGAAGCTAATGAGAAAAGGGTGTCTTTGTTGTAGTTTTTGGAAAAATCGATAATGTGAGCAAGGCATGTTTCACTCAGGAGTTAGTTTTGTACAACTGGTACCACCATTGCAAAAAGCTGTATTTCTGGTTAACAGTTTTCTTTCCTGGGATGCTGAAGGCACCTGATGCAGCAGCCCATGAGCGATATGGGAATGGAGGAATGGATCATCTCTAAGATAGGGTTAGGCAACTTGTAGCCTTCCAGATATTTTGGCCTGTGACAGTTGGAAAATCTAGTTTTCCACTCTTTTGATGGATGCCAGGTAGAGTTTTTAATGTTTGAAAAGCACTTAGAGACATATTTCTTTCAGAAAAAGATTGTACTACATAGGAATAAGATCCACTTAATTGAGTAGGACTTGAAAAGTTATGTGTAGGACTATGCTAAAAAGTTTATTATATTTTATAGTCACTTTATTGAGGGAATGAGATCCTTAGTAGGACATCCCAAATCATAATTACACATCGCAGCTACATTGCAAGTTAGAATGCTTATTAAAGTGTTTATACTTGCTATGAGATAACAACACTGAAGTGCAGAATATATTTGTAATGTTAACATTTTCTGGAACTACAGTCTCAAGAAGTCAAGGTGAATATTAAAGAGCATATCATTTTTTATGGATAGAGAATTTGTATTTTGGAATATAAGACCTATATACTTATGCACAGCATATAATTGTATCATGTTGCTGTTGTTGTTACTGTTCTTGTGTGCCGTCAAGTTGTCTCTGACCCATGGTGACCCTATGAATGAATACCCTCCAAAATGTCCTATCATACCAGCTGAATATGGAAGATATAATGCTCTTCATCTTTGCCATGTAGGTTGGGAAAGATTCATTTGGTAATGATTATATTGAAAACTTCAGGAAAAATGGGATTCCTACAGGTAAAAACTTCACATTTAAACTAGTTTTTAGCTAGGGTTTATTTTTGGAAATTAAAAGTGATTGATTTACAGAACTTTGTTTTTCAGTGCACACTGGATATTAAGATTGTTCAATTATAGGATCTGGTATATAGCCTTCTCCAGCCTGGTGGTGCCCTCTAGATAGGTTGGACTCCAATTTCCAGACTCCCTGGGAAAATGGAAATCGTAGTCCAACACATCTGAAGGGCTCTATGCTCAAAAAAGCTAGTGTTGTGGTTAAGCAAGAATGAGGGCAGGAAAGTCAGTTGGTTCAAATCCCACATAGGGATATATGGTATATTTTTTTCATTTTGAACTAAGAATTTATCCAGTTCTCACATCCAAGACTCAAATGCAGACTCTGTGCAATGTCCAATGTGCAAGTACAGGCTCAGATGCAATGTGAAGTTGAAGTCTGTTGAGTTTGTAATGTGACTCATGGGCCAAAGAAAACTGTTTGAAAATATGCTTGAAAAAATACTCACCAACATCTGTGATGAGAGAAATACCTGTCCTTTTCAGAAATGAGTGCAACTGATGAGCACCCTTTGGAAAAAATGCACATTAAAATACTCATGACCTTTCATGAGAACAGCAGCAGCAAGCTCTCAATCTGATATGGACACGAGTCAGAAACAAGCTTCAAGATGGAATTTGGAAAACCTCAACAAGCTTAAATGGTGCTGGTTTGCACATCCCTAATCTTTTTTTTTATATAATTTTTTTATTAAATTTTTAAACTAACACTAAAAACATCAAACATCACATACATCAGATTTACTGGGTCAACCCCCTACTACATATTTTTAACATTCTAAAGTCAAATTCAAATCAATTTATAATAATTTGAAAACATCTCTAAGTTTACACCAAGTCCCGTTTCTCCAGCCAGTTATAAAAAAAATCCCAAGTTCGATAGAAGTCAGTGTCCTCTTTCTCCTTCACTGATAAAGTCAATCTATCCATTTCTGTGCAGTCCAAGATCTTTCTTACAATCAATCCATCGGTGGGTAGTTCCTCGCTTTTCCTATATTGAGCAAATGCAATCCTCGCCGCTGTGATTAGGTGCAGTATCAGATACATTTCCTGTCTGTTAACGTCTTCCGGTATGATGCCTAACAAGAAAACTTCAGGTTTAAAAGCACAGGGTTTCTGTAATGTTTCCTCCATCCATCTATGTATTTTAATCCAATACTTTTTCACATTATCACAAGTCCACCACATATGATAGAAAGCACCCACTTTATGTTTACATTTCCAACTTCTATTTGACATATTTGGAAACATCTTTAGCTAATCGACTTGGTGACAAATACCATCTATAGAACATTTTATATAAATTTTCTTTATATGAAGTTGCTAATGTTACCTTAATGTTTCTTTCCCATAGTTTTTGCCACTTTTCTAGTTCCACGTTAAATCCAAAGTTTTGTGCCCATGTTATCATAGTTTCCTTAATCTGTTCCCCTTCCATTTTCCTGTCAAGTAAAAAATCATATAGTCTTTTAATAATTTTCTCATCTGTTTTAAGCATCACTTGATCAAACTCTGTTAGGTCTTTGTAAAATCCCCATGTTTTACAGTCTTTAGCATATCTCGATTGCATCTGCACCTTATACCACCAGGAAATATTAAGTCCCTGTTCTTGTAATTCTTGCTCCAGTTTCAGGCCACCATCCTTATCCAAGATATTGTCATACCTTACGATCTTTTCAAAGTTCAACACATTTGGGTATACAAAAGCTTCCATAGGTGAGAGCCATTTTGGTAATTTATTATACACTTTTAGCTTTAGTTTTTCCCACACTGACATTAAAGATCTTCTAATAAAATGACTCAGAAAAGACCCATACACATCCCTAATCTTACTGAATGGCCTGAGGCAGTCCACCATTTCTTAGCCTCAGTCTGTAATGTGAGGATAATAGATTTAGATGCATTTATACAGATTCACTGTTTCTAGCCAGGACAACTTTCTGGCTGCAATGAGTTAAGACTTTTATCCATATCCAGATTAGTACTATAGCCTGTTCTAGTTAGGGATGTGTGATGAAACTGGAGAATCAAACATTGAGCAGATAGGACCCACTCAGCTTCCTTTGTTTCAGCCCATCAAGCCAACTTGTGATCATCTTTTAAAGTGGGGAAAATCAATCTTCCTTCCTTCCTTCCGTCCGTCCATCCGTCCTTCCTTCTTGCCAGGTGAGCTTGTGTAAATTGCAGCCAGTATTAGAAATACAGCAAAATAATATGCAAAAATGGAAATTGCAAAAGCTAAACAAAACCATGCCCCATTTTCAGGTCTTGAGTCAGCAAGGTGCCGTAAGGCCACCAAGCACAGGCAGGTCAAGATTAATATTCAACATATTTTTTGCCATTTGCTTACTCCGGTTTATTTCTGGCTACAACCCTGTACATTTTTAGGCCTCATTGAATACTGTGAGACTGTCTTTCCAATAAACCTGGATAGGATTAGGTCATAACCCTTATGAGTGTATGAACTTGTATAATTCAGCAGCATTACTGAATACAGAAAGCTTGGCAAGAAAATGTAATGTAAAGCAAACCAACCGACAGCCAGACTAGTTTGGATAAAGCTAAGCAGCAATTCTGGGTGTTGCTGTGGGTGTTACCCACCAACCAAATCAACCTATGTGTTCTCTTTCACAGTTCCATAGCAGGGCTTATTGCATCCACAATACACAAATGGCCCCCACACCCTTTGCGGCCTAGAAGGAATGAACAGAGTCTCCAGCTTCAGAGGCAGCATGTTTCTGAAGAGTCATGTCAGGAGCAGGAGGAAGCAAAATAGGAAGGTGATGGCTTTCACGCCTGCATTCTGTTAGCCATTGTTCAGAATGAGGTTTAAGGCAAAATGGACCCTTAGGGGTCACTGCTAAACATGCTTAAGGGGAGTACACACCATAGAACTGTACAGGACTTACTTCTGACTAAGGATGCACAGTATTGTGCTGCTAGTTGTTTAGCTATGTATAGCTTGTGCTACCCGGCACTGCTTTTATGCTGTTGTATTCTGTTTCCTGATCTAAAGGAGCCATTTCACAGGTGATGCTTTTCCCATATAGGCTTGGAAGAATAAATATGTACCTCTGTCTGTCTGTCTGTCTGTCTGGTCCTGAATATCTGATTACGCAGTGCATGACAGCTTCCAGTAAAATCTATGGTAAAGTTTTTAGTGAAGCAGAGAAGATAGAATGAATTAATTTCAAGTTTGTGTTTGCTGTCTGGGGGAAATTTAGCACTTGTATGTTTTCCTGGCATTGCTACACATGCAGTATAATAACATTGTTTTAAAAAGTAAGTGAATTACTGTATTTTTCATTCATGTGCAATGGATTATTTTCTGTTTGTTCCCTGAATGTATAATGCTAACATATTACGCCTTATTTTTCCTTAATCAAGAATTTGTAGGTCAAACTGAGGATGCTGCAACTGGAGCTGCTTCAATTGTTGTTAACAGTGAAGGTACATGTCTAGGAATTTGCTGAATCCTCTCCACTTCTGATTCTCATATCCAGGTGTTATTACTAGGCTTTGAATACAAAGGTTATTTTTTGAAAAATGCTCGCTCAATTTTCAGGAATATTGAGAGCTCAGCTAAACAGCTTTGTGCCATTTCCTTTATGCTGAAACTGTACTGTGGTGAGGATAGCCACTTATGCATTGCTAAAAAAGAGAAAATATGTCAAAAAGGGGCAAAAGAAGGTATTTACTGGCATAAAACTGACACATGGTTATTTTTATATCTAGATGTAAAATTGAAATTTAGAAGTCATGATTATCATTTAACTAGAAATGCCATGTTACTTGTTTTGCACATGCTACCAACCTCTGATTTATCTAACCTATAGAATCATACAATAGTAGAGTTGGAAAGGGCCATGAAGGCCATCAGGTCCAACCCCCTGCTGTTTCTGGACACCATCCCACTCAGCATCCCACTCAGATGACTGTCCAGGTTCTTTTTTAATGTCTCTAGTGTGGGAGAGGCCACCAGCTCTCTAGGCAGCTGGTTCCACTGTTGTATTGCTCTGACAGTGAGGAAACATTACCTGATATCCAGCCTGAATCTGGGTTGTCGCAACTTGAATTGATTATTCCGTGTCCTACACTCTGGTTTTTGAATTTTGAGCAACTGTAATATGCAAATCCAGCCACACTAAGAAACCATGGTTTGTTAACCACAGAGAGCCCAGAAAAGTAACTTCTATTTTATAGTTGGGTTGTGATCTCTCAGTTGGTTAAACCATGAAGTTGTTATTATATTTGAGTGCAAAGCTAGGTAGTTTTTCCCATGGAAGAGTTTTTTTTTCCCGTTCACATGCCAGTACTACAGTGCTGCAGAGATGTTAGGCCACAGGGAGGGAGGGAGCACAGTAGGTGGAAAAGAAACAATTTAGGGATTGGGAAAACAAAGCATAGGTTGTTTGTCTGCCAGACAAACCCTGAATAGAACAGGAAACCATGGTTAACATTATGTATGAACCAGCTCTACATCATAGCAGGGAGGACTATGACCATTATTCTGAGATCTTTCCCAGCTCTGCCTAGTGATGTTCAGGACTGAACTTGAAACATTCTGCCTGCAAACATTATGCTCTCCCACTGACGTTTGGGTGGCTAGGGGATGGGAGGTGGGATGTTACAGCTGGGCAAGTTCTGACAACTTTAATAGGGCTGCAGTATCCTTTATAATTTTCCTTCCCCTCCAAATACTCTCTGCAGTTTTTCACAACTAGTTCAATTAGTTGCTAAATGTGAGTTGTCCTCTCATCAAGTATAGACTAGCTGTTACAAAACATGCATATAAAAATATATCCCTAGTTTGGAAGAGAAAAGGATGGGTGGTTGACCTGTGGCTGACATTTTTTATCCTCAATCATATTCCACAGCATGCTTTTCTTAGAGATACTTCTGTTAAATGCAAGGATGGGTTTGATCAGCAGAAAGAGCAGGCATCTCTTTCACTTAACTAGTTCTGATAAGCTGATTCACCCCCTCTTTTTGAACATATGCCCTGAGCATGCTCTGCATTGTCAGTGAAATTATATTGATTTGATCAGAGGTCGCCCTAAATTCCACATTGTTCTGGTGCACTGACATGGCAGCTTGGAGCGGATCAACATGCTGCTGCTGCCGCCACCCACCTCCACTGCCAGGTACAGTAGGGACCCACTAGAAAGCCCTTTGCCCAGTGCTTCCTCCAGGTGGGAGCCAGTTCTGTACTCTTTTCCATTAAGCATCACCCAGCACCCAAAGACTTCTTTCCACGCCTACAGACGCTTGTGTGCAAAAGTCTTAAGTGTACCTGAATACCAGCAAAAGCTTTCACAATTCAGTTTCATTTACATCATATGCATGACAAATGAGATTAGGGAAAACTATATCAGAGTTTGTCTCTGGAGGAGAAAGGAAAAACATACCTGGCTCCACTGTGGTAGCTTAATGAACTTGGCAGCTGTTGCAGATTTGCAGGGTATAAGTTGGACTTGCCTCTAGGTAACTGGTAAATACAAAGGAGCTCTCAGAGCTACACCCACAGCTCTGCTGCATGTGTTTGAACGCTGCCATTTGGGAGGATGGTGTTGATTTCTTGTTTATCACAGGAAGAACTTTTTTTTTAAGAGAATGCTACAAAGATTTGTGCTACTGCCATAACACTTGTAGATAACGAGTGCACCAAAAGATTGTCATTGTGTGCTGGATTTACATATGGGCTGAGCAGGCTGTAGTGCAGGGCCTCTTAGTCTAGGGGGAGCTTAGCCTCCTGCCAACCCCCCCCCCCCCACAGTAATTTTATTTCATTTGGTAACAATAAAAATCAGAAGCATACTTAGGTGAAAGATGACTTTCTAGAGGAAAAAGAATAATGAATGATCTACAATCCACAATGTCCAATGATTGGTTGCTTGATCTAAGCATTCTCTACATAGAAAATGATAAACTGTGATTTACTGATTTTAATGATATAATTGATAAGTTTGCATCCAAAAAAGCTTGAAAGAAACTGTTCTGACTTCGTGGACAGTGTGTTATAGCTATGATTCCCCTATGACTCATCTATGAACCTCTTCATTAATTCCATACTTTTGTAAACTTACTATAGGTTATAAATTTATGAACAATGTTTTTATCAGTGCTAAAATTTCAGCAATGGTCTGCTTTCATTGGGTAGATTAAGAAGAGAATGAGGTTTTGTTTCTCATGAACAGATATTGTTAGGTTTGGGCCTCCCAAGGTCTTCTAGCCCAGGACCTCCAGTTGCTTTATTTATTAAAACATTTCTATGCCTCCCCATTCGCTGAAGCCTCGGGGCAGCTCACAACAAGAAGTAAAATACAAAAATAACAATATAAAAATAACAATATAATTAGGGGCTGTGTAGTAGCGATAAGTTCCAAATCGGACCTATAAATTGGCACAGCTTGTCCCTTGGTCTGTTTCATGGCTTGGATATTTTAGTAGTACTACAATGTAGGTTTCCCAGTCAGGATACACCTAAAGTTTCCATCAGGTACCTGGTGATTCCCAGATTAAGGGTGGAGTCTCATTCACACGCTTAAGCTGAAGAAATTCCCCTGAACAGAGCTTCCTTCTGGGAGGGGGGCGCCAGACACACACACACGACTGATTTAGTTCTTTTCTTGGTGGCCCAGTAAATGAAGTTCTTTGGGTGGCGTGCAAATAAAAACTACCAAGTGGTATCCAGTGGAAGGGAAAATTGGCACTTCCTAAGGTTACCCTGGAAACAAGTGGAAAGTCAGTAAAGCTCCCTTCTGTGAACTCTGCCAAACCGCCCCATTCTAGAAATTAGTGTTTCCTCTCGTTTGTGGTAGCTTGAAGAAGCAGCAGGTCCCGTTATGCTAGCAGTAGGCGGAGAGGTATGCAGGCATCATAGGCTATTGCTCATAAAATACAAAGTTGGCTTAAAACTGTAATACAGGTCCAATGAAATCAAGATAAAACTAGCAGTGGTGCATAGTAGAACCAGTGATAAGGATAAATGGTGCAAATATCAAAGAACAATTCTTAATTTTTTTTTTAAAGGAGAAATAATTAGGTCTTCATGCTTTTAGATTGGAGCTGTTAGTGTTGTGCACTTAAGAAAGGCACTCATTTTTTTTCCTATTTATGTGTAGCACCCCAACTATTTGGATCAGGGCCTGCCTCCCTATTGTGCTGCAGAGAAGAGCCCTTCCAGAATTTTTGGATATGAGATGAGAGGCATCTGGCCAGCCACTATTAGAGACAGGCATCTGGACTAAATAGAGTTTCAGTGTGATTCAGTTCTTTTCATTTTAATGTTGGGAAAGTTTGTAATGCAGGGTATCATCTGCTTCATTTCTCAGAATAACTTTTGAATGATACTCTGTCTTCATCAGTCTTTCAGATAGTTCAAATAATTTGCTTCTTCCTATGGAAGCATTCCCAAGATATGCCAAGCACAATAGGTGCAACCTAGAGGCTCCTGACTGTTATGTTTGTGTTGGATATGTTTCTTTCATTGAATATGACTGTTTGGGAAAAGAAAAAAGAGAAAAACCTTGGGCTTTAACTAAAATAAGCTTTTACATATGAATGTATGAGCCATATTTTCAATGATCTAATTGCCTTAGAAAGCTTGGATTCCTCCCTGTGAGATCATGGTATTATTCTTATCGTTCTATTTGGGGAAAGCCCACTTTGCACGCAAGGCTGTTTGATGTCTCAGTCAAGAAAAATACTGTGTTCATAAAGCATTGAGTGGATTTGCAGCCTAAGCCATTCCACAGTCAAATAACCATTCATGATTTGCAAGCTCTGGCATAAGCATTTGGCAGGAGCAGGTAGGCAAAGAAATAAGTTTTTGATTGAATCTTTTAACAACTGCTGGTTAATATTGTCAAAAGCTGCAACACTTGCAGGTGCTTCTGTGGCACAAGCAAAGGTTTGAACATCCCAGCAGACATTTAAAGGACCCCCCCCCCCCGGGGGGGGGGGAGCAAAGAAAAAGTGCCAGGGGTTAAGCAGCCCCAGTGGGAGCAAGCAAGGGGAAGATACTGCCACCGTAGCTGCTTCAGCAACTGTGCTGACACCCACACATTCAAATGGTCCCAGCCAGAACAGGCATCTGAACTAGAACAGAGAGCACCATCTGAATCTATTATGGGGGAGGCTGCAAGGATTGCTGCCTTGACTGCCAGTCATTTGGTGGTGCCCTCCCCTTGTTCCCTATATTAAAAGGCTGTGGTGCCTCTCCTAAGGTTTATTTACTGGCACTAAGAGCCTTGCATTAAATTTGGGCTTTGCATTAAATTAGGCTTTGCATTAAATTTGGGCCCAACCCTCTTGCCTTCAGCTCTGCCCACTTTTCACTGCAACCCTGAGAGGTTCTGCAAAACAGAATCCAACCGTCAGGCTGAAAAGGCTTCCACAAGCCTGCCCTGGAGGCAGAAGTAACTCAGGAGCAGGCAGTGTCTGAAAAGAGTCAGGTTCAGTGAGGTATGGAGTGATGCCTTATTAACAACCCTTCCATAGTGTTGTAGAGATTTCTGGAATATCACACCAGACGGCTCTATGAGTTCTTTGAGATGCAGCAAAGGTTACTGCTGTTATCTAGTAGCTGGTATGAAACAGTTTCCCGAAAAGCATGCATGTCTGCTGCACTAGATTACACATATGCACTATTATTTTGCTCTGAATCATGACCCACCTGTGAGTGATGGGGTTTCATAGGAGGGAACTATGCATCTTGATTACCATACACTTTTGGGAAAAACTGCAGCCCCTTGTCAAGTTCTCCCCTCATTGTTGGTACAATGTATAGGAAAATGTACCCATGCTCTGAGGTCGTTATGCTGCTCCATATTATTGGATGCAGCTGATGGGGTAGGGAAACAAACAGTACTGATAGCTTTTTGAAATTAGAAGTATTATTGTTCTCCAAAGGCCACCTTGGGGTTTAAGTTTGTGAAAGCATGTTTCCTGTCTCTTAAGTACAAAAACATGTACTTGATTTTGGGCTCTGTTTTGAAACAATCTTGGAAGTGTTGTATAGGAGTGATTACAAAATGATCGGTTGGAATCACCAACACAACAGACTTGAGAGAAGATGACTAGGAATGATGGGTTCATGCAACCCACCATGGCTTCTGCAAATACCTGTCCATTTGTGCTCACCTAGACATGTTTTTTATGCCATCAACCAAGGCATAAAAACCAAGTCTGTAATCATGGAATTGTTTTTGGCAATCTCTCTCTCTCCAGAGTTACAAACAATACATGTGAATGGCATAGCCAGAGGAGCCACAGAATAATCCTGACCAACTCAGCGGTGTACTACTACTAAATAGACATAGATGGTATTTATGATTATTCCACTAAAATGAAAGATAACAAGGGATGAAACATTGAATTTAGTTTGGTCAGCAGGACCAAGAAGTATTCCATTGACAAATTTAAGTTGAGCTATGCACTTAATTGATGTTACAGAATGGAATCCTATCAACAGTTAGTCAGTGGAGATCATACATAGTTATGATAACTATATATTATCTCCACTGTATAAGGGCAGTATGCCGTCATACGCCAATTGCTAGAACCATTGCAAGGTGGTTCTGCTTGCAGGCTTTCCATGGGCGTCTGGTTGGTCAGTCTGCAAACAAAATTCTACACAAGACCTCTCTGGTCTGATAACAACATGGCTCCTCTTATGTAACATTTGGGAACTGGTAACATAGCAGTTTGGCTTTCCAGGTACTGCAGCCATATCTGCAGAAATAAGCTTCAGCCTAGAAAAGCTCAAAGCACAATCATTTTGTTAGACTCCTATCAAAGATGATGTACAAGCTCTGGAAATTATGGAAAGCACTATAAGAGCATGGATGGAATAATCCATCGCTTTGCTCTACCTTTGAGGTGGCAGACAAGAACTGTTAACAAGTTTTCTTTGAAAGCATTTGAAAAGTCTGTTTTCTCTCTTTTTTAGGGCAAAACTTCATTGTCATTGTTGCAGGAGCAAATTTGCTTCTGGACTCTAATGATCTAAAGAGGGCTGCTCATGTCATCTCTAAAGCCAAAGTGATGGTCTGCCAACTTGAAGTAACCCCAGCAATTTCTCTGGAAGCCCTGAAAATGGCGCATACCAATGGAGGTAACCATGCAAATGGTTGTTCCTTGCTTTCATATGTTTGTGTCCTTGCAAGGTAACTGCACTTCAAACCTATCCTTCAACAGCAATGAGGTAAAGAAAGTCACCTAGAATTCAGCAGTTTGAGAACTGAGAATGATTCGGACAGGCAAGTCGGCGGTAACAGAATTGACATGGCCCTGAGTAGGCAGAAGCGTTAGCACCTCTCTGATTTGTAGTGAGAAGTAGCTCTTGACAGGAAGCTCTGCAATGCTAAAGCACCATAGAGATGGCCTCCACCATCTTAGAGGCCACCAGGAATGTTTGTCCCTTGAGCACAGTAACCAGAGAGGCAGGTAGGGAAGTGGTCAATCTGCTTCTTTGCCTGTCTAGTAACATTTATATCCTGCTTTTCCTTCAGGTTGCCTGGAGTAGCACATGTACTTTCTTTATCCTTGCAAGAGCAGGTTGGCAATAGCCCAATCTAACCCAGATAATTTAATGGCTGAGCAAGGCTTTGAATCTGGATCGCCACAGTACAAGTCCATCAGTCTAGCCAATGCATCAGCCTTCCCTTCCCTAATGCTCTCCAGGTGTTTTGAAATATAAATTCCAGCATACCTGACCAATTGGCCAAACTAGTTGGAGCTGATGGGAGTTGAAGTCCAAAACATATGAGGGGTATCAGGTAAGCTAAGGTTATACTTGCTTTCATACGTATTAGTAGGCATCGCCTATCATTAGGTACTTATTTATGATTTATATGATTATTATTATTTGTTCAAAGACTCCAATGCAACAGCAAAGGGATAGGCACAGTAGACATCTGGCAGGCAGATGTTAGCATTTGGATCGATTGCACCAGCACTACTGTAGCTAGAGAGAACTGAAGAATGAAAACACCTTTTTAAAGAAAATATCTTTCCTCATGCTTACCCAGTTAATGTTATCATTGGCCAAGCTCCTGGTCAACAACTACCTTAGTGGAACAGAACATCTGCCATGAGCACGTCTCTCCCCTTTTTCCTTTCTAATAGATCAAGGCAAAAAGGCTTCTAAAATACTAAGTTACCAAATTAGGCTGATTTTGCCATGCAGAGTGGACAGGTTCTCACAAAATGACAAGCAGTTGTGGTTTTCTACCTTTTCTGTTCTGTTGTGTTGTCTGACACCCATCCTGGTATTTCAGCATGGCGCTTAATTTTGAAAAACCACAAACAGAAACAGTGGTCTGTTCTATGGATTCTCTTGCTTGTTGTGTCATATGAACAGGAAAATAGAACCATAGAGCCCCTTGACAAGAGCAAGAGCCCATTATTGCTGCTCTTGCCAAGCAGCCAACAGAGACCAGTACTGACAGGTGCCATTTGACTCAGCTCTAAAAGGCATCCCCACTTCTCCTGTCCTAAAGATCTTCTTCAGGCAGGAGCAGGCGATCAACTGATCAGTGCTGGGAGAAGAGCAGCACTTCTCAATTGACTTCCTTGCCATCACTCCCACATGAGTGGGACTGGTGAGAATCTGCTTGCCAGATTCCCCTGTGCCACTCGTTTTATGTGAGCAGCTGGGAGAAAACAGCTTGGAGCTGGCGGTGCCTGGTTGAGAGCTGTACAATGCAATGAATTTCCCTGTCCTGCCCCTTTAGCATGCACCAATGAGAAGCTCCTCATGGGCTCCCCATAAGTCAGCGGCAGGGGTGTGAATCGACTGGGCAACGCTGTGGAAAGAAGCAGCACTGCTTAGTTGATTCCCCTTCTGCCCCTTAGCTCATGCCAGAGCAAAGGCCCTTGCACATGTGAATGAGCCAGCAATAGGCAAGAAGCAGCTGGGCAGTGGTAATGAGGGAGGAGTGGCACTGGCTTGCCAGAAAGGCGCTCCCAAGCTGATGCCCACAATCATGATCACATCTGTCAAAGGCAGGAGGCTCCTGGGATATTTCCTAGAGGATTAAGAGGGAAGAAAATGATGGATGGGAGGACTGACTTTCAGGTGGATCCACACAGGAAACTGCACACAGTGGAAACAGTGCGGCACTGCTTGTTGTGACATGTGAACCTGGCTAATGAGTAATAATAAAGTAGTTAATAAGTTGCATTTGTCAAAGTAGTGATCTGTCTACTCAGTGGAGTTAGATTTTGCCTGTGTTAGAACTTGATTCTAAACCCCCTCCTCCCTTTTTCTCCACAAGAGGGTGGCTCCACCCTCAGGGAAGTTCATGCTGCTAGTGAGCCAAAGGCAGGAATGACATACTTTATTTAATTGGTCCACCTGTTTGGCTTAATGATGAATCACTAGGTTGATGAACTCACCTCTCTGCTTCTGACCTTCCTTGTTTTACTCCTTGGTATCTCCTCCTGAGCCAGAGATGGCTACACACTCAAAAACAACAGGAGAGTTTATTTAGAAAGAAGGAAAGATCAAGTACAAATACTGTGTGAGAGAGAGTCTAAGCTACTGTCCGTTGGTTGTCTTGCAGAGTAGACTCTTGACAGCAGTTCTTTGTGGAGATAGGAAGTGTGCAAACAGTCCTTGTTCCAGGCCAATTGCCAGGTCTGTGCCCCTTTCTAATTTTTGAGTCCCTTGTTCTTGTACTCTTTTCCCCTGTGCGTGTTTCTGTTAGTAATGCTTATTACAGGATGGGTGTTTGGTTACTCTTGATGGCCTTAGCTATCTTATTGCTGTCTGCTACAGGACCATGTCTGTTTTCTATGGGCAAAGGTGAGTTCTTTGTCTGCCCCATCAATAGCAACCAACAAACACAATTTCCAGGTGCCTGGTGTTTTTATGTAACTTTTTGGTGACTTACTGTATTTACTCAGGACAATAGTAGCCATCCAGAAAGATGGCTGGAAGTACTTCCTGACAGTTAGGGCCCCAAGGGTATGGAATGGACTTACACGGGAGGTGGTTGAGGCCCCATCAGTGAGGGTGTTTAAGGATAGACTAGACGTGCACATGGTGGGCATGTTGTGAGTGGAGCTGGCTGGAGCCGGGGGTCAGACTAGATGGCCCGGGAAACCCTTCTGGCTGGCTCTGTTTCTATGTTTCTTTCCCTTGCAAGGGTTGTTTTGCCTAATCTTTTTCAGGGCAATCCCTTCAGGTTATGTATGACCTTCCCTCTGCAAGAATTCACCCTTCATTGCTCATCTCATTCACACTGGCTAGCCCTGGGCATTAGGTCACTACAGAACTCTGGTTTACCCAATGTATCCCTTGGCCTATGAGGCTGTTCTTATGATGCTTGGCATGTAGCCAGTATTGATATTAATTATATACACATGCTACAGGAAGCAATTAAAACCCTTGAATGTTGCCTGGTTTCAATAATGGACTGGATGAGAGGAAACAAGCTGAGTTAAACTCAGACAAAGATAAATGCTGTTGTTAGAAGAAAGTCTGCTTTGGTGGTTGGGATCCAACCTGTTCTGGAAAGGGTATGCTCCCTCTGAAGGCTGAGGTCCATAGCTTGGAAGTGTTCCTTAATCCTGTGATCTTCAGGCACTAGCAGTGTCAGGGAACAACACCTGAAGCATCCACAGTTTGCAGAGTTATGCTTGCTACATGATCTGTGACCCTCCCTATGTTGGTCTAACTCGGCAATAGTTATCCATGACTTAGTTAAATCAGTCATGCTTAATTGTTGCAAAGTGTTGTATAAGGGACTGCCCCTTCAGGAGGGTCTGGATGCTTCAGTTCGTTCAAAATGGCTTACTTAGGGTACCAGCTGGTGCACTGGATCAGGTCCATATTACACCTTCTTGAAATACCTTTGATAATTCCTAATTGCTTTCTGGGTTCAGCTCAGGGTGTTGGTTTTGACCTTTTAAAGCACTCTTCTCTAAGGGATCATCAGTCTCATAGTGAACACACCCAAATATTCAGTCTATTGAAGGCACCATTACTCTCAGACTCATTTGTTGGCCCATGTAAAAGAGCTTTATCCTATGGAATGCATGTCCACTAGACTTACAGAAAGACTGATAAGTGGGTCCTAGATCAAAACTATCTGGAGCTTTGCCTAGAAGCTGAAATGACAAAACTGAGGGTGTCATACTTCAGACACATGAGAAGGCAAGACTCACTGGAGAAGGCAGGCATATTAGCAAAAGTGAAAGGCAGTAGACGAAAGGGAAGACCAACTATGAGATGGATTGAATCTATAGAGGAAGCCACCGCCTTGAACGTGGAGGAGCTGTCATGGACAGGATGTCTCAGCTGTCTTGGGACTATGGTAATAGGTGGCATATAAATGAAAGTATTAAATAAATAAAATTTGGAGCACTTTCATACATAGGATTGTCATGTCAGAGGCAACTTGATGGCACATAACACCCACAACAAGTACTGGGTTTAGCTGCCACAATCTCAGTTTTTAGAAGTATGTGAAGGTACATCTTTTAAATTTAGTCTAAATTATGCAGAAAGTTGTATTGTTTTAAATCACATTCTGCATTGATTGCTTTTTCAAAGGAGAAAATATATAAATGTTAATAATAATAATAATATTAAAGATAATACTGGTAATAAATTTGCTAACATATACAATGCTACAAGACCCTTTCCTTAGTTTGCCACAACTAATACAGGGTAAACCCTCTTGAAATTCCTCCTACAGTCTGGAATCAACTTATATCATATGTACCTAAGACATTTATTTAGAGGATCCATCTATTTCAGGGATGCATATTTCCCAGTAAGTGTCTCTTGGAGTAGAGTAGAAGCCTCATGCATCTGATGAAACAGATTCTGGTCCAAGGAAGCATATTATTATAATTGCAGTATATTTATATTTTGCCTTTTCTCCTCTTGCAAGAAACCTAAAATGTCTTCCATAGTCTTACTTCACTCTATTTTAGTCTCACAACAGCAGCCCCTTGAGGTAGGTTAGGTTGAGAGTAATTGAGTGGTCTGGAGTCACCTAGTGAATTTCATGGTTGAATGAGAACAAGAACCTGGATCTCTCAGGTCCCCAATCCTACACTTGAACCATCGCATCACATGGGTGCATAATAAATGCATTAGTCTTTAAGGAATTTGAAGATCCTTTGCTTTTTTTCTTCTTTATACGATAAAGGAACAGTCAATACATAATTCAGTATTCATGCAAGTGTTAGACCAAAATGGACAGATCCCATTTAGAGCAAGAATGGCACTGGCAACTTAGTACAAGAGATTGCCTTATTAAAAGATAGGAACCATCTCGGGTGTCTGTTCCATTTTTCATCAACATGAGGCCCACTGAGTCCCAACAAAGCTCTCATCCCCTTTGCCCTAGAAGAAAGGCAAAACATGTCGTACCATCCAGTGTAATCAGTTCTCCATAAACACATTGCTGACACTGTGAAATCAAGAAACTCTCCCAGCTGGAGCATGTTAATGTCACTTCCTTTCCCTAAGTCTGCCAACTCCTCATGTTTAATGCTGTAGTTTATGTTAGGAAGCACATAAGACTATTGGTGTTTAACAGAGGAATGCCCAAATGCATGCTCAGAAGAAAGAGGGAAGTGAGGAAACGGACACCTGTGGTTGTAAAAGCTCTTGTTCACATTCACTTGTGTTAGTTTTATAGGCTCCAAATTGACAGCATTGTAATTGTTAGTGTGTCGTTGTCCAACCTCTGGTCAATAAATATCCCCACACCTGCTTATCTGTGGGTGTACTAGCCTTTTTTTTGTACTGACACAATGCTAAGGCAGGTTGTTTGATCCAGCATACTAGTGTAACTGCAACACTTTGACCCTAGCACTTTTATTCTGGTTCAGTTTATCAGCTCAATTTAAGAGAATGAAGATGCATCTTAAGGGCCCTGGATGCTCTGTACTTTCTAAAGGGAAGAATGGCTTCACCTACCATTCTGCATACAATGATTTTAGGCCGGTGTCCTGCAAACTGGAGCCCTTCTGATGGTTTGGACTACATTCTGGGAGCATTCTAGAGAAAAGTTTAATGCCCAGAGTAGGCGGCAGGGGCAGCCATTTTCTCCATTCCCCACAACTTATTTGGAAGGATGCCACTCTGTGATCTAGTATCCTATTAGAGAGACATGATGAAGAGGGAAATGGTCTCAGATTGTGTTAGTTGCTGAAGCACCTGAGGAGCCCAGCTTGCCACCATCTTTCCAGCTGGAGGGGTTCATGCTGCCCTTTTGGTCAGACACCAGCTCAGAAGTCATTGCGAGCCTGTAATCCTCCCAACACCCTCAGAGCCAACGGGTGCTGAACAAGGCAAGCCTCATCAGCCACATGAGGTTCCTCCCAGAAGTGGTGGAGCTGGCCCCCTAGACTGTACTATAGCCTATTTAAGCCTCAGTCTGCTTGTGTTTGAGTCTCTAGCCACAGGGAAGGGCACTTTTCCACTCTGGATTCCATTTTGGAGAAGTTTAAGGGCTGCATTCTATTGGTAGGAAAGGCGGGAAAAAATCCCTCACTTCTCAAATTCCATCATTGCCAATTGATTGTAGAAAGCAAGTCTACTTAGAAATGAACATGAGTCGCATGCTTATTTGCAAATAACAGGACAAGCTTTTCTTTGTCTACTCAGAAGTGAGGAGGACTGAATCACTCAGCATCACTTTCAAATAGCATCTTGCATTTCAAACCTTTGCATGTCTTCTCAGAAGTAAGCAAGGCAAGTCTCTGCAAAACAGGTCTCAGATATAGTAGCATAAATCAACATGCGGAGACATCATTTTTGTATAAAATTTTTAAAGTATCTGGCCACAGATCTATAATTTGATCACAATCCTGTGCTTTTAGTTCATATACTATAGTTTATGAAGTATAATTTATTTGTATCATAATATATATACACTATAGTTCATACAGTGTATATATATTATTATACAAAGAAATTATGATTCATCACAACTGAATATGAGGCAGTATCCAATACTGCCCCTGTGCCTCCACAATTTCTATAGCACCAGTGGGATTCATCATTAGTACAAGAAGCCTGCACTGCCTAAAGCAAGAATAAGCAAAAACATTTATTTATTTTATTTATTTATTACATGTTTCTACTGCCCAATAGCCAAAACTCTGCACAGTTCACAGTGATCAAAACCATAAAATACCTGGCAATAAAATGCATCACAAAAGTTTAAAACTACAGTATAAAATAGGAATAAAAACCTAAATAACAGCAATGCGGAAATTAAAATACAGTAACAGATTTAAAACAGAAACTGAAAGATCAAAACGCATGAGAATATCTTCTCTTGTGATGTGTCAGGTGAGCCCCTTTGGGAAATTCATTCCACAGGTGCTGTACCACATAGAAAAGGTCTTTCTTCATAGCCACTTCACTTCCATTAGCATATGCTCTCAGAGAACGACCACTGAGGATGGTATTAGGGTCCAGGGAAGTATATATGGGAGGAGGCAAACCCTCAGCCATTTAGTGCTTCAAATGCTAGCCTAGTTTATCTGTTTGATTTAAAAGAGTGGGTAGAATTGACCAGCAATCGCTCACTCATGCTTCTTGCCCTGGAAGGAGACCTTGCCTATTGGTCTGCAGTTGTCCAAATCAGGGTTTTCAACAGTATCCCAATGAATACCTCATTTAAAGAGGCTGGTAGAACTCCCTCTCTCAGGAGTTTACAGCCTCCTGTACCCAGCTGATACCCTTTCCCTATTGGATGTGCTAAACCATGATGGTCAAGGGTCAAACAAACAGGTGGTCAACCAGACCTGGCCAAACGCATTGTCCACATCCTCAGTCCTCAACACCTGAAACTCATCCAATAAAACTGGACCAGACAGTGATGTGGCTATTTCTATTAATGGAACTACATTCATTGTGGTGCCCAATTCATGACGGATGTGAGCAATATCCTCTTCAAAATGCTATGCTATGTGTTACAGTATGATGCCAAGTGTTCCAATGTTTCTATCCCTGACTGAGATTGTAGTAGCCATGAACCACTCAGAAAAGCTTTGCTGGACTGCATTAAGATACAATAGCAGTGAGAAAGAACTCCCCCTTTGTCACCCTCACTATCACCAAGTAGGTTCTAACCAATGTGCTGTTGGACTTTGCATGTGTTTTCTCCCACCTGCGTTTATCTTCTTCCTTGCTTCATTGCCTTCTGCTCAAGTGCACACCAAGCTGCTTACCAACCTCTGCTTATAAAAGGGGACACTTGGGCACGGTTGTGTCTATTCTGTGAATCACTTCTACATTCAACAAACTGACCTGGGCTTTGGCAGGAGCACAAGCCATGTTGGAAGGAAAATCCTCCAGGATCTATTAACTTCCATGGGCAGACCATTTTAATAAGTCCCTTACTCTTGCAGAGCAGAAAGGCCATTGAGAGTCCAAACCTTAGTAGGAAATAATCCAACCATGGCAATGGGAAAAGTATCGTTTGCCCCATTTTCCACTGCCCTCCTTCCCTGTTGAGGAAACTAAATGAAGTGTGTGTCCTTCTACATGTGTTGGACTGATGAAATGATGGCACAGCCCCATAGCTGGCATGGTGGCCATGAAGTCCTAGGCTGCCTCAGCCCAGGGCTTTCCCCCTTGCCCCATTTCATCGTCACTTTCATGTCCTCCACTGAGTTTGTCATTCTTTTACTTGTTATTTTCCTTCCAGCAAGTAAAATAAAGGTTCCATCTGCTTGTTATTTTGGCAACTTTGGAATAGAATAGAATAGAATGCACTTTAGTGCCTTGTACTATTGTTCTGTTAACTCTAAACAAACAATTTGGCATTAATTGTCTGTTCATGTCTTAATCAATGTAGAGAAGGCATTCATGGCTGCTAAATAGGAATACCAATACAGTACAGGGAAAGAACAAGAACAACCAAAAAAGGATCCTTCTGAATGAACTATATGTGGCAGGGATGAGCTTTTCACATTTCAAAGCTGGGGTGGGGAAGCTACGACTTGTATGCAGCCCACATCCTAATTCTATGTAGCTGTGCAATGCTGTAAATGCCACCTATTTTGGCTCTGATTCTGATCTTATCCACCATCAGCTATTGTCTTCAGCTGACTTTTCCTATGGGTTAAAGGCACAGGAAAAGGGTTCCCCAAACCTTCACTGTTTTAAAGGTCCCCCTGAGATGAAGCTTGCAGGTGTGAGGGGGATAGGTATGGGGAAAATCAGGTTTTGCCTATTAGGTTCCTAATTCAGAAGAATCGTCTGCATGGTGAGGAACAGAACAGAGTTTTGTGGTTGATTCTTTCACTGAACGCTATTAGCCAAGTGAATTTTCATGCCAACAGTAGCCAGTTTTATGTCAACAGTGGCCAAGTGCCCTGTGATTCTTAGATGGAATAATTTCAAGAAATACAAAATGTGTATTAATTGGGCTTTATATCTTCTGGATTCAATAGAGCCTTCATTTTGCTAATTAATATTTCCTAATTTTTTCCTTTGATGACAGAGGCATAATTATCATCTTTGGTTCTCTGATGATTATCATCTCTGATTCTTCTGAAATCATTAACTAAACCATTGTTATTACAATCTAGAGTTGTACTCTGTTTTGCAACATTTGAAAATAGGGTATTTTACTGTAGTTTTGTGTGTCTGCAACTAATTTGTATATGTTAGGGAAAACAGAGAGCTGAAAATGCCTTAGCCATAACAACACAGTGTTTTCTGGGTTCTGGCCAATTATTCATATTCAAGCGTTACATGCCATTGATTTAGACAACATTTTCCATTCTCTTACAGTGAAGACTTTATTTAATCCTGCTCCAGCACTCACTGACCTAGATCCACAATTTTATACCTATTCTGACATCATCTGCTGCAATGAAAGTGAGGTAAATACAGATATAATTATGGTGACCTGGCTCATTTTGGACAGATTAAACTGAAAATAATGTCACTTTTCTGAATGAGAGTGCAAGTAATCTGTTTAGATTCTGAAAATGCTGCCTTGCATAGGGCTGTTTTTACCTGGTCAAATAGCACTTGAAAGAGAACTGATAAGTCCCCAAAGACTCTTTGCCTCACTGCTTGTCATGACTTGGGTTAATGGGAGCAAACACAGGGATGTTAATCCTCTTCAGGGTAGAGTCATTGAAATGAGTCAGGTGTAACTTAGCCTACCACTGGATACAGCCACATAACCCTCTCCTGCTGAATGCCATTCATAGGAGTAGCTCATACCAAAAATTCTGTGTAGTCCAGCAATCTATTCCCATGTTGGCCCATCGGGAAGCCCATAAGCAGCACGTGGATGCGAGAGGACCCACGAACTACCTCACTGCAAACAGTGTACATGAATCCCAACTCTTCTCTTTACCCCAGTCTAGTTTTTGTCCCCTTTCCTCCACACCATGTCCACTCATTAAATCCACATGTCTGTAGGCCTCCTAGAGCCAAGCCTAGCTCCCTTTCTTCACCAGTTCTCACACATTCCCTGGTGTCATGCAAAAAGTTACTGGATGGATGAAAAGAGCTATTTTGTATTTATGTTATCCCAGATTTCCTTTTGCTGGGCTCGGCATATTGAGAAATGAGAGGTCCCACATTGTGGATAGTTTAGTGAAATTACTGCTTACTTAGAGAGGAAAAAGAGGCAGACAGAGTCGTTCCAAAAAAAGGCTTGAAAGATGTGCATGTTTAAACATGTGCTTGCCTTGTACACCTATTAAGTGGGGGTGAGGCTTGCTTTTTACAGAAAAAGGCGCATTTGGCCTATTTCAGCATAACCTGCCCCTTCCCTCACACACCCTTCCCTACAGCCACAGTGCAGCTTCTGTGGACAGACAGATGTTTAAATATGTTATACGGACAACAAAAGACTGCATTTTTATCTGGAAAGAGGTAAAGTTTGTGTGTTCTCATCTTGCAATGATCAAAGACACAGTATTGTGTATGTGAACCTTCCCTACCTAATCAGAAGACTAATTTCAGTTACCTCACATAGTTCAACACTGCTCTGCGCAGACCAATGCTACTGTGGCATGTGGAAGTTCTTATCTGGATGCATTTTGCCACACGACGCCCCCATATTATATTGCTCCTGTCTAAAGAGGAGCTCTGCCCAGTCATACCTCCCATGTCAACCAAAGGGGAGGGCCATGATTCAAAATTAGAGTCTTGTGGAGCAAGCTCATGGATCTATGTATTTAAGGAAGTGTGGTGTAGCGAAATTGTGAAATGGTGGTGGAGAGTGGGGGAAAGAACTGCCGATCACATTTTTGAAATATTTATCAAGGAAAGCAACATTTAGAGTACATCAAAATTAACATCCGCCAGACTTTTCACACTGACTAGCCACCAACTCCAAAGGGAAGTGGAAATGTATGCCCTATTGTCGGCACTATCTGTGAAGTTTCTGCCAGTTGCCTTAATAATTCATGTGGTGTACATGTGATTGACCATTTATGATTGGCTGATAACAGTTATGGGATTAGACAGGAAATTTCTGTTAGTTATCTTCTGGACAACAGAAGCATAAAACCATTCTGTGACATTCCATAGCCTTGGAAGTTTCAAGCAGTGCTGCAGACTCTGCCACATGGGCCATATCTCCTGAGTACTTATTTATTGGAAAGAAGCATGTGCATCCACTGAACACCGTAGATGCTTTGCCAACCACAAATACTTGGTATTCTAAAACATTTTGTTCCTTACAATTTCTTTTCGCTAGGATGAAGCAAAAACAGCAAGGGTTTATTATCAAGGGACAGCTACCACAAAGGACATTGCACAATCTGTAGGGTTTAGGGTTTTTTTTTCTTTTTAAAATATTCCTTCAGTAATAACTTGTGTGTATTTGTGCAGTTTTTAATTCTTTGCTTGTGGCTTATGCACAAAATACTGAAAATGCATCTTGCAAGGTTATCAGTTCCTGATTTTTTGCTTAGCTTGTACTTTGGGCTTTTCTCTGTATTTTTCCCAGAAAGATCAAGCCTGTTGAAACTGGCTTGTTAATTTACTGCACACCAGATGTAGCATAGCTTAATCCCTGAGGTTTGCCCAGGAATGTGCTGGTTCTCTTTTCTTCCTAATACTTCTAATGAAAGAAATGCAGAATAAGTATATCAAATTTAAGGCTTATGGAAGCCAAACCTAAGGTTGTGTGTTGCTAATTGATTTCCAGTGTGAAGGAAAAGAGTTGCTACATCACCAATATCTGTGGCAGTTTACACAATTGCACAATCTAGAAAGACCGGTCCCTGCTCGCGAGGAGTGAGCATGCTGTCTCAGAGGAAAAGTGGATGTGCAGGGCAACCATATTAAACGTGTTTGCCTCTTTTGCATATAAAGTGGAGGTAGAGTCCAGCTATTATAGAAAAGGGAGCATGCAGGAGAGGAAAGCAACATATTCTCCCCTGTCTCTTACCTGCCTTGCCTCACAGCATTTCTAGCTTGAAGCATTTTTCCTGCAGCACCAGCAGAAATCTACATAAAAGGAGTGGAGTGGAGTGGAGGGCAGCAGGGAAAAGGGAGGAAGGAGTTTGCTCTCCTATGTATCCCTCTGTGCTGTACAACAAACCCATGTTTAACCCTTTATTTACTTGTTTATTCTTTAGTTTTGTAAACAAATGTTAAAATTGTCATTAAAAATAGCATGGCTAATTTGGCCCGACATTTTCGGTGTGGGAAAGAGAAGAAGGAAGAGTGCGAATGTCAGGCAAATGGCAACCATGCAGTTATCCGTACTTAGGCTTGGTTATAGTTGAATTGTGGATTTAAGATCCAAGTCAGAAAAACGATGTGGAGACAAAACAAGTTTCAAGAGGGGGGCACCACGAAGGCCAGCCTTCCCCAAACTGGTGCTTTCCAGATGTGTTGGGCTAGAGCTCCCTTGTAGGTTCGGGTGATGGAAGCTGTACTGGGGAAGGCTGCCATACATATTCTGCCAACTGGGAAAGGCTGCCATACATATTCAGGATGCAAGTAATAACATGCAGCAAGAGAGAATGTACACGTTTATTTAAGGTAACAGGAGACGTTCAAGCCAGAAGAGAAGCCATGCTAGTCAGCCGCAGTCAGACAAGCTCTTCTAGCAGCTTAAATCCCTGTAGCAGCTCAAAGTCTGATAAAGTTTCTGTGAACTATGGTTCACTTCACTGGGAATACTAGTTTTTGACTGGCGTATATGTATACATGAATTTGAGGTGTGATGAGAACTGTAAACTGTGGGGTCAAATGACAATGAAATGCAAAGGTACCCTTAAAGCTTAAAGGTATGCAAATAGGCATGATTACGATTCACAAAACACAATTGGGAATAACTCAGTCAGCCTAGCATTACTAAGTTAATTACCACTCCTAGTGGGACAGGAAACTGTGGCCCTCCTTCCCACAATCAAACAGCTCACCAAGGGTTGTTTAAGCTGTATGTGTGCTGGTCAGGATTTTGCATTTTCACCCTCCAGCTATGAGTTATCATTTGTACAAACCCAGCTGACAGGGGCTATGCAGTGAACAAGGGACCAAGTTTTTGTGTTACATGTGCAGAAGCCATTGCACAAATCTGAAGTGGGCTTGTATGGAAGGTTTTTGCAGCAGAATTTTGGACAGAAATGAGAGGCCTGAAGTATGACAAGGGGAGGCCAGCTAAATCACAGATAAGCTGTATAACCTTGCAGCAGTTTATCACATCTGTAATGCAGGTGTGCAGAATTTTTTTCAGCCTTCAGGATGAATTCATTTATTTGTTATATTTATATCCTGCCTTTTCTCCTTCTAAGGAACGCAGGGCAGTTTACATATTTTTCCTCCTTCTTTCAAATTTATCCTCCCAACAACAACTCTGTGAGGTAGTTTGGGTTTTAACTGGTCTAAAATCAGTCAGTGAGCTCCATGACCAAGTGGGGACTGAAACCCAGATCTCCGGATTCCCAAACCTGCACTCTTAGCCATTGTACCAAGCTGGCTCTGTAAAATTACAGTTTAAAGACGTTTTTGGGGCTGCACTCCAGGCTTGGCTAGGGCTGAATGCAAAAGAATAGGCCAATAATACCTGTATATCTTGGTTTAACACTCTTGCTGCTAAGGACTAAGTCTTAGGAGAGGCATTTCAGTCTTTTAGAATGGGGTGGAAGGACTCCACAGAAGTCAGAAAACAACTGAACAATCAGTGGTAGAAGGAAAATGGTGGAGCTAGGAAGAGGGACATGGCTGTCTGGGGAAATGAGGAGGGGCTCCATTTGAAACCCAGAAGTGATGAGTTTGATTCCCCCCTCCCCCAGGAGAGTCAGATTTGATCCCCAGGCAAAGGTATTGCACCTCTGCACTAAGGAAACTTAGGCTCAGCTTAGGTGTTTGCAATCTAATAAGCCATGGCATAACGAGCTTCTTCCTACTTTCTCTCCTATTGGAAAGTAACACTTTGGAGAATTATTAAACCACAGTTTGCCATGACATCTGAACCAAGAAACTGTAACTTGATCTGAGATTACAGGCCAGGATGTGCTTTACAAACAGCAATTAAGCCACAGTTTCCTGGTTTGGCTGCAGTGGCATACTTGGTAATGCCAGTGGTGAATTCTGCTCTGAGAGAAATGGAGGGAGCACACAGGCATAAGGGCAGTTCCTGTTTTATTTAGACTGCAGTTGTTCTGGCTGAAGCAGCTTTTAGGCTGCTGGTGTAGGGGCAGAAGGCTTTGGAGTGAATAAGCTGCATTGAACAGACAGTTGACCTAGAATGGTGCAGGTGCTCCCTTAAGCCTTTGGCTAATGCCTATGTCCTCCGTTTGCCATGAGGGGACAGCTGTACTTGGTTGCCCCTGTGCCACCAGCATGATATGCAACCACATATCATCCCATCCAACATAGGGTACATATGTGCAAGAGACAAACCTACCTGGAAGAGTTGGGAGCAACTATGAAAGTTTTGGCAGCACCGCCACTCCAGGTGATACCTAAAACTGGCTGAAGCAGCAAGTAAAATCTCTTCCAGATGGATAGTGAGCCAACAGCTGAGAGAGCTGGGCGAGGTTGGAGGGTATATTTTCATTTTTTCCACTGAAGCACTGGAGACATATCTGGTCATGTTTCTCAAGGTTCAGCAATTCAAATATTTGCACAGGTAGAGCTAAACAAGAGGGTGTGAGTGCAGTTTGCCCCAGAGTTGCACATCTTTGAGATATTGAACTGATTTGTATAACTTTTGCTTACAACTATAATGCATGATTCTATGATTATAGAACTAATGACCTAACTACATATATGGATACCTGTATAAAGGAAAGATATAATAATGTGGATATAGTTTATTTGAAGTATTTCCTTATCCCCCCGTGAATATTTTATGTCTTTAACAAAATGGGGTGGGGGAGAATCTTGCTTGGTCCTATGAGGGGAACTATTAAAAATATCCTTCTTCGCCTCCTTCTATTGTGTTTTATTTCTCCTTTTAAAAGCAGTACTTAGCTATTTCCTCCAATTGTAGCATTTTTTTTAAATTGTAATTTTATTGGAGGGAGGAACTTTCCAACACAGCCGAGGAGCTTTATATTTAATTCCACAATTGACACTTGGTAGTGCATGATCATTTTTGGCACGTAACATCTGTCTGGTGTCTGCTACCTTTGTGGGGAAGCCGTTCCCAGCCTGTTCCATGGTATCCTGATCTGACCCCTTTTCCCAAGTTGTTGTGTGTGGCTGGAGGCAGCTCTTTCTGGAAGGCAGATACGGCAGAAACTGCTGCAAGCATCAGTGTTTTGATAAATCTGCAACTACCATTATGTGCTCACTAGACAAATAACAGCCAAAGGGTTAAAGAAACACTTGGCACTAAGTCTCCTGTGCCAAGGAATCCTTATAATCAGTGGTATAACTTTGCAAGTGCATGAGCCCATCCTCACAGTTCTCATAGCCTTTACAAGCATAGGCAAATATAGGGTTATATAGGCCATAGACGCTTCCTTTTATCAAGTCCAGCTGTTGGTCCCCAGTATTGTTGACGGTTGGCTGGTTTGTATGATCAGGCAACCTGCCTTGTGCATGTCTAGATGGTGTTCGACTGTGGCTTGCCATGTCACCCCAACCTATCATAGAATAGTAGTGTTGGAAGGGGCCAGGCCCCTGAGTCCAACCCCCTGCTGTTGCAGGATACTAAGTGACACCATCCCACTCAGATGACTGTCCAGACACTTTTTGGGTGTCTCTAGTGAAGGAGAGCGCACAACTTCCCCAGGTAATAGGCTGCAATGTCGTACTGCTCTGACAGTGAGGAAACTTCCTCGTGTCTGGTCTAAATCTGGTTTCTTTTAATTGGCAAAGGTGGCTTGTTGGTTTGTGTGGTTAACCATACAGAACCCATGGGCTGTTTTGGGGTTATGGGCAGTTCTTTAACCTTACCAACTCCTCACCCTTGCCAAGTTCATGCAACATGACAAGTTGCATTTGTAGCTTGAATGTTCAGAGGTCATCTCTCATTCACCACAACCCGGCATGGCTTAAATGAGCCATCATGGACTACAGTGATGGTGTGAATCTGGTTACTGACTGGTAACTCCTCTTCAGTGGCTCAGACAAGATTCTTTCCTAGCTGGAAATGCCAAGGATTGAACTTGGGACTTTCTGAGTCGGGAATGGAAGAGGCTGTTATTCTTGGCATGCTTTCCAGGGTCAGGCTTGCACTGACTCTTCAAATGAGGGCTTTGGTGGCTGGGAAACAAGGAGTGTGGAAATTGAGTTGGCAGAAGAGGGTGAGATTATTTTAAGACTGCTCTCTCCAGGTGCACAGGTAGACCATGGGAAAAGACAGGGTGTTGAAATAAAGAGAGGGGACAAGGGAGAGGAGCAAAATGACCCAATGCCTAGTCCAGACCTTGAGTTAGAAGGGCTATCCAGTTAGAGGATCTGAATAGATCTAGGAATCATTTTGTCCATGCACAGAGACTCTTCTTGTGGCTACAGTTTGTCAGCTGTGAATTGGAAATAAAGAGCCCTTTTGCAGAGAGACTTATGTGAATATGGGGAAACCCAGCTTCTGACATTCTACATGCAAAACAGGTGTTCTACCACTGTGCTTACAGTCCTTCTGTAGGTCTTTTGTAATGCAAATTGGTCTTCATTACCCATTCAAGGCCAAGCCAGCTCAAAACTAAGTTGCATTACAATAGCTCACAGGAGTATATTGTTGCTGGCAAAATCTGATTTCTCACCTATTACTGTGAGAATTGCAGGAAAGCTCAGAGAGACTGTGGAGTTGGTAAATGACATCTGCCTGCTAATCAAATAGCCTGGCACTTTGACCCTATGAGCCATGACTCCACTACTGCTTGTAGTCCATAAAATCAACAGCAAGGCCTGCACATGTTTTCATTTGTTTCCCTCTCTTTCTCCAAGTAGCTCATTGTGGTATTGTTCCCTGCTCCCCCCTGTTTTTAGTAGGTCTGTGCCCCTGGTCCAAGTTGGCTTATGTTAGATTGGCTCAGACATTAGCCAAGTTGCTCCTTTCGCTGACCCCACCCCCAGAACTGGGAAATAGTTCCATTAATTTCAAAACCAATTCATATTCATTAACTTTTCCTGATTTTTTTTCTATTGCTTTACAAGGTGGACTGTTAGAGGCAAGGGGGAACCCCAGTAGCAGTTTTCCCAGTGGGAGCTCTTCAAAGTAGCACTTTAAGCAAAGCAACTGAGGCATTTCGCCCTCCCTTGAACAAGGGAGGTTCATGATGGCACTATTTGAGAATCCCCAGTAGACTTCTTTCTGTATTACACTGGACTGGATTTTTAAACACACACTGAAAAATAAAGCATGTTAATGTATACATAACAACCAAACCAACCACTAATTGGAAAGCCTGGATTGGCTACACCTCTGTATAACTTGGGGGAAAACCTAGATTTGTTCATCTTCAGCGTGTGTAACAGCCCTCAATCCATTATCATCTTGCCACAATATTAAACCACAATCTTAATAGCACTGATTGTGTTGCTTTTCACATCAGCATTCTGAATCTGGTCATTTGGAGGCAGCATGTCTTTGTAGTCAGAGTGCCAGGCTGGGGCCGGGAGGCTCAGGTTGCTGTCCCCACTCAAGCGTGAAGTGTGCTGTGTGTCTTTGGGCCAGTTACTGACTCCCAGTCGAACATACCTCACAGGGTTGTTGTGAGAGTAACATGGAGGGGAAGATTATGTAAGTTACCTTGAGTGTCTTCCAGGCAAAAAGTAGGATATTAATAATATATATTATAGTGGAATGTAATATGCAATTCAGTATTATTTGTTGTGAAAAAGATAAATGAAGGCTGAATGGTTGCCTTGGGCTCCTAGAGTAATTGTTCTATCTTTCACTATATTATTTATGTTTTGTGTGTTATATCCCACTTTTTCCTTCAAGGGGTGATCCTCCTCCTTTCCCCTTTATCCTCAAAACAACCCTACAATCTGGGTTAGGCTGAGAATCAGGGACTACCTCAAAGACTTCTGTTGAGTTGGGAATTGGATCTCTCCAGCCCTAATTCAACCTCTGCACTACACTGGCTATACACCAGCTCTTGTTATATTTGACAACAGCAAAGATTGCATATTTGTTGTACAGCACCAATACACTTGAACAGCTTATTCATTGTTTTGCACTTTGTTAGTGGCTCTATCTGATTGGATTGTTTGTTTACAAATGTGGCTTTCATATTTTCTCCAAGGCAGAAATTCTCACAGGCATTGCAGTTGGAAACACTGAAGATGCTGGCCGGGTGGGACAGACCTTGTTACAGAGAGGCTGTAAGACTGCCATTGTAACCTTGGGCCCAGACGGTTGTGTGATGGTCTCCACCAAGGAACCTGTCCCAAAACATCTCCCTGCTAAGAAGGTTACTGCTGTGGATACCACGGTAAGTGCTTATGCTTTAAGAGTCATGCTGTAGAGGAAGATTATTTGAGCATCACAAATTTAGAGTGATCAGCCAAATCTTTGGACAAGACTTATCGCATGCCAGCAAACTGTCATCCTCCAGCCTGTTGTGCAGGGAATATTGGTTCACCCAAGGTTTATAGCCTGGTGTTCTGTAGCGAGACCAGAGCAGTATGTACTGATGATATCATTGTATTCCTCCTTCGCCCTTCTGTCTCTTCGGTATTGCAGCAAAGAATAATAGCATGAATTCTCTTGTTGCTTGTGCAAGACGGCGACATAATCCGCAGCACCATCACCTCAAATACCCCAGTGCTTCTGTGGCGGAAGAATGGAGACACCCAACAGTTCTCAGACTCCCCAAAATTCAATAACTGGTTCTGTCCACACATGCCTGAAATGTTTGTGCTGGCAAAGGCCTTTGGTTGGTAGAGCTTAAGCAGTATCAGGTGCTCAAATTCCACAGGGCACAGTTAAAAGGCAGAAGCGGCATGCCATGCCAAATTAATTTTGTCGTGATGTGTAAGGTCAATGACCTACATGTTTCATACACTGAGGGGTTGGCGTTTGCCTCCCTCCCATTCCTTTCCTGTTTATAATCAAGCCCTGACAGAGCCCTCCTTCAATGGAATGTCAGGATTGTGTGTTCAGCAACAACAGCCATCAAGAAAAGTTAAGGTTCTGAGTGGAATTTTCTCTCGCTCACATTTACAAGAGCTAGGACATTTTGTGCTCACCCCAGTGCCTGATTTAAATCCAGAGTAGCCCTGGCAATGTCGCTGAGAGCACTGTCTGTACTAACTATACATTTTAACTGCCTGATGTCATGAAATGTAACTTGTGTTTCTCCTGCAGCAACTGTGACATTTCCCCCGCTCCTTTAAAAAAATGTATTTTTTTGAAAGGCAAAACACTGCTGTTATCTACCTAAACCAGAATAGCTGGTTCAATTCAGGGGAAAGCAAAGACCTCCTGAAGAAAGTAAAATTGTGTTTGTGCAGGTCGTCTGTGCACACTGCTGTCGCAACTAGTTTGGATCCTTTTTGCACATCCCAAAATAGCAGTCTGCAGAGCCAGATGGAAATAGTTGAAATCTACAGATTCACATGAAAGATTTTGAGAGGCCTTCCTCACAGACATGATCCCCTCTCAAGGCTGAAATAGCAGGCCATTGATCTGGACAGATACATTATTCGTACATATATGCTGTTCTGTCCAGGCTTCCAAATTCTTCCTTCGCTGAGGTAGTTGCTATCATGTTTCTTCCCAGATCCCCCCAGGGTTTCCCTTCAAATGCTCTCCTGCTAAATCCTCAAATTTTGTTTTGAGCAGTTGGGTTTGGGTGTTTCCAGGAACAAGGTGATAGAGGGGTGATATCAACACCCATCAGGCCCAGCTAGCATAACCAGTGATTAGGAATGCTGGGAATAAAATAGCTGACAACATCTGGAGGGTGCCAGAGTGGGAAAAGTTTTCTTTGAAATGTGTTCTTCTCCACATGGTCCAGGCTTTGAACATTGTCCAGGTTCCTGCCTCTGGCACAGACTCAGCTGAGTTGGTTAATGTAAATTGCTGATGCTTGACTTTGTGAATGAAACTGCCATTATTTTGCTGAGCAGTACACTACTTATGACTGCTGTTTTAGCTGTCTACCTTCCTTTTTTTTCCTCAGAAGTGATATTTCTTTCACACTCAGTCTTGTCGATTGACTCTTTGTGGTTAGACTAAAGGTTTTCATGGACAGGTTTTTACTGATTAGATAACAATGAATCGCTTTAGTAAAATAATTGTACTTGTTAGTCATCCAGCGGAAGTACTTGAACCCCTTATTGGCACATTTCCAAGAAAGTAATTTTGCATGTCTCTTTCACTAATAATAGTCTATGATCAAGTAATTTCTTGTCCCCCCCCCCTTTTAAACAAGGAAATCTATGAAAACTGTTTCACAAACATTGCTCCAATCTAATTGAATACACACTCCTCATGGACAAAATACATTGACATTTGCTTTGGGGCTTTAAAAAAGCTGTCAGAGTCCTTTCTTGGCTGCATTTACTGTCTGCCACTATATGACCGATTTCCTTCAACAGAAATCGGTCATATAGGAACATCAGAACAGTCTGCCTGGATCAGACCACAGGTCCATCTGGTGAAGACCAGGATGTGAAATAATGGCCAACCAGATGCCTTCAGGGAGTTCATGAGCTGAGGGTGTTGAACATTAAGCCCATGGGCCAAGTCCCTGTCTAGAGCTTAATCTGGCTCTCTGGAATTCCCCAGATGGGCTGGCTTCCTTCCCCTGGCCCACACATTTTTCTCAAATGCTGGTTTCTCAGTATTTATATACTTCTCCCATTCTGGAAACTTGAAATTCTTCTTCCAAGGCTTACTTGCTGGTAGTAAGAAAAATAGTAGGCCCATATATCCTGCTTTTTCTGTCTTTTGGTGCAGCCCCTTTTGCCTGCTCCCCACCCCAGATGGGGCAGGACATATGGGGCAGAATGCTGCTCCAAGAGCGTCTCCAAAATGGATTTGGTTCTCATGCCAAATAAACAGGTCATGGGCTTCCTCCCCTGCTGCTCCCTTCTACCTTACCCAGTATCAAGGCGAGCAGGAGCTCTCTTGCCACCTGACACGAGAGACAACTCGCACTGCGCCCTCCTCCTTGCCTCTACACATCCCTGACCCCACCCCTCATCTTGGCTGATGTGCCACGTGGCTGGAAGAAGTCACCTCCTAGAGCTCACGAAGCCCCATCAAGCCCCCACAAGACCACTTCTTCTGTCTCTGTGGCTCTTGCGAAGAGCAGCAGATGGCCAGCGCTGCTCCAGAGAACTCCCCCAGGCCATCGTGGCCCTTGCTGCTCTGGGAGCATATCTGACATGGCACTTTGGGGCACCCACTAGAGGAGGCAGCAGTGCTGGCTGTCCTGGTTGGGGTGGGGAGGAGCAGCACCATCTGCCCCTCTTCTCTCTGGCTCTGGAACTCAGGCAGGCCCCTGAGCCTGCGCCTGATTGGTATGCAAAAATATGCCATCTCTCAGTGACAGTTCCAGGGGCACAGTTTTCTTACAGGGCCTTCCACTAGCGCCCACCTCCTCACTATGGGTGCCATTCCTCATTTGCCCACTCTGACCTCACTTTACATCATGTCCCCCTTTACTTGCCTTAGCATAAACTAAGCAGCCCCAGATCATGTAAATTTTTCTTATAGGGGAGCTTACTCCAACTCCTTGATCATTTTTTTAAATTTTAATTAATTGTATTAAAGGAAAAAACATAATACAATTAATATAATAGTAATAAACATAATTAAACAATACAATAATAACAGTGCTATCTCTGCCAGGACCAACAAATCACGCCACTTAATGTAAGATCATTCATTCATTCAGGTTGCCCCACTTCCCTTCCAGAATTGCACTGACTCTTGTGATGGTTCACACCCCGTTCCTTTTATTAAAACATATTCAATAAATGGTCCCCAAATATTTTCCAAATTATTTTTACTTATCAAACCTTTCTCCACTTAATATCGCAAGTTAACTTATCATTAATAGCTATATTCCAAACTTCTTTATACTAGTCATCCATGTGATAATCACCTTTTACTTTCCGATTCCTTGTTCTTATTAATCTTACTGCTGTTAATAAATTTGTCATCAATTCTTTTATATTTTTGTCCCACTTGTCCTCTAAATAATGACAGTAATCTATTGATAATTTTGGTTGCCCTTTTCTGCACCTTTTCAAACTCTCCAGTATCTTTTCTGAGTTGTGGTGACCAGAACTGTCCATTGTATTACAAATACGATCATGCCACAGATTTGTTATAGAAGCATTATGATAATGGCAGTTCTATTTTTGATTTCTTTCCTAATGATCGCCAGCATCGAATTTGCCCTTTTCACAGCAGCTATACGTTGGTTGACATTTTCATTGAGCTATCCAGCTCCAGGCTTTCATCAGTTGCATGAAGTATTATCCTCAGTTACAATAATACTCAGTTGGGTGGTGCAGGGTTAGTGCTGAGATCAGGGGAAAATGAAATGAAAGAGGGTGATTGTATGCAAAATAAGCCCAGTGACCATTCGCAACTACAGCAATAGGTGATAACAGGATCAACTGAGCAGTGCTGAATTAATGAACATTGGTAGTAGGACAGGAAACAATGGACTCTCTTCAGGCTCAAATAAATAGAACTGGATGTTTGATGAACAGAGCAGTTTTGTGTTGCTGCTTCCCTTTGCAAGTCCTTTGTGATGGCCATGTTGAAATCTGTAGCAAGGTGCCCTGGTAAGTTGTGGATATGTCTGTATGTCGAAAGTTGATAGGTTTACCTTCCATGAGAAGTTACCTAGAGCAGGGATGGAGAACGTGCAGACCTCCTGAAGTTCCTGCACTGCACTTCCCATCATCCCTTGCTGGCATAAACCAATGACGTGGAATGATGGGAGAAGCAGTCCTGCAAAATTTGAAAGTGGGTCACTTCCCCGATCTAGGAGTTTTAAGCCCAGGTTCCTTGATACTCTTCATCTTACCCACCCAGGAGGCAAAGGGTGGGGGACTCCATACAGCCCTTCAAAGAAGCTTGAGGAGGGCTATGAGGACACACTTTTGCATCACAAGCTGCAACATGTGGAGTAATTTATGGTTTTTTTTTTTTTGTTCTTGTTGTTTTTTTGGCTAGAAATCTTATTATGGATTCCAAAGGCCATTGACTGCAAAAGCCACCATCTTGAATTTAGAGGAGCTGAGCAGGGCTGACATGGATAGGCCATTTTGGCAGACTGACATAAGTCTGAGAGGATATAAAGGTGCACAACAACAATAACAGCAGCAGCAATATAGGCCACAGAGTCTATATTCTCTGTGTCTTTTGCACCATTGATTGCAGAATAGGGATGCCCTTGTTGGTTCACATAAATTGTAAAAATGTAGGTCTTTCCTTGAAAGTAGGAAAGAAAAACATTGCACATCT